GGTCCCTTTTTGGAGCCTTGCTTATTGCTCGCTTCGTGCTCGTTCCTTGAGCACTTTGTTGGGAGTTCCACTCCCGCTCTCGACCTTCAAAGTCAGACCTTTTAGTCCAAACGTGTTACACTCGTTTGGCTTTCGCTTCGGCCACTACCACGTGGCACCCTTTCCGGCTCCACTTTGGGGCCTAGGGATTTTGTGTCTCACACATGATTCTCCTGTTCTAAGTGGGCATATGGGACATCGTCATGTAATTGAGAAGCTGTGCAGGTCTTTCTATTAGCCAAAGATGCGATGTGATATTATCTAGTATGTGTGTAGTTGCGTTTGGTGCTAAGCTCGTAATACTCCCCCTCATGCTACGGAAGAACAGTTGAAGTCAATTGCAATTTCCCGTCCATTTGAGTTAGTGGCATTTGATTTTATAGGATCTTTTCCACAGTCGACTGCTAGCAATGAGTATGTTATTATTTCTTCTAACTACTTGACTAGTTGGGTGGAAGTTGGTGCTCTTGCTAGTGCCTCTGCAACTCCTGTTAGATACTTCCTCCTCAATCGAGTGGTGTTCCAGCATTCTTGTCTAGAGCGAATTCTTTCGAATAATGGTCCCGCATTTATGGTTGAAGCATTTCATGTTTTGACATCTTGGATGAGGATACGCCACACTTTCACAAGTGTTTATCATCCACAATTAAACGGTCTAATGGAATGGCTCGTTCGGACATTCAAATGGATGATTGCGAAGTATATGAACTTTCAGCATTCGGATTAGGATGGTTATTTGCCGTCTCTTTGGTATGCATATGTCACAGGGGTGCAGAGTTCTATTGGTGCTTCACCATATAAACTCTTATATGGTCATGATCCAATATTACCAATGGAGCTAGGTTTACCTTCATGATTGCCACAAGCTACCGATGCTAGGTCATGGGATTAGTATTTGACGAGCATTCTTCCACTTGTCCGAGCAAAGTCTGCCAAACACTTAGGCCGCATATAAGTGGGACAACAACAGCGCTACAACTCCCATCATCATCCACCTGCGGAGTACAAAGTGGATGATTTTTGTGTTATTCCATTTTCCCCATCTTACAATACGTGGTTTATCTAAGGGGCTCCTTGCGTAGTGGAAAGGACCGTATCTGGTGTTGCAACAAGTTGGACCACAAGTTTATGAGGTTTGCATGACGTTCAGCAAGCTGATCCTCCAGAGATTGTGCATGTGCAGTGGTTGAAATGTTTCATACAAAGGGATTAGGAGCAGTTAATACCACCTACAGATCTGCCAATGCCTCCTCCTGACGTTCCTCCAGATCCCGGCCCATCTACAAGAGAACCTTGATGGTCTTCCATTATTCCGAGAGGAGGGGATGATGTGAGTGTGAGGGCCAAGTGTATAGCTACGACGTTATATATTAATATTAGCATAGTGGGATTTTGGTAGCCGTCAGATTAGTTTTAATCTAGACCACTCACTCTTGTATATAAGGTAGGGTTTTTGGGTTAATTAATATGCATATTTTCTATATTCCCTTTCCATACACACACAGACAGATATATATATATGTGTGTGTGTGTGTATGTATGTATGTATACATTACCTGTCTAAGTAATATGTTAATTATAACACTATAGTATATAGACTATCCATATGAGATTGAATTTGGTCCATCCATTATTGTATATAATTAATATACTTATTCCCAATATCCCAAGCACTCATAAAATTACTTTATTCTTGTTTAGAAAAATATAGAAACTATTGAGATTAAGGTCATTGTGTTTCTTTTGTTAAATTGTAACCTAAATACTTGTCTATTTCATTCTTCTCTCTTAACAATCTTCTTATAATAATACTTCATTTCATATGATATATTAATTAGGGAAGTACAATTTATATATAAGAATCTTTATTAGCTTTTATTTACCATTATAATTTTTATTTTGAGCTCTGTCTTTTTCTTGTGATCAAACCTAGAAAGACTATCCTTCTAAAGCCAATCTAGGGACTCTCAAATAAAAGAAATTGATCGCTTTTTTAATTTTTAAAATATTAATTTAGTTTAAAAGAGTATGTTTATCAATTGAAAATGTAGAATACTTTATGATTTTATTAATTTTATATTATTGTCAATGTTTATTTTTTCCTCAATAATGTTACTAGTTAAGCATAAGTAAATGAATATCATGTAATCCAAGGAAATGTCCCACTACAATGTAATGAAATACACTAAAGTTCATAACTACAAATAACAGTTAGTTACATGACAGTGTCATACTCAATTAATATTCTACAAGTTTATATTAATCTTTATATAAAAAGTTCATTAACAAGTGAAAGGGTAAATTTGAATGGACAAGTATATAAAGGTAAATAAGATGGGATTTTAGGGCCATAGTAAATGAGTGTTTTGAAAAATTGTAAATATTACTTTAACTATATACATTTAAAAATTGATATGACGTTTTCTTATGAAACTATTCAGCTTTTTTAAAACAATTTTAGATTTTAGATTTAAGTATAGATTACTATTTTGATATAGTTTTTTTAGAATTTATTTATTTGAGAACTGTATTAAAGACTAACATATTATAAGAAACTTTAAATTTTATTTTTAATACAGCTTTTTTAGGGTTTATTTTCTTGATTTCACTGAAATCTGATAGCTATATTAGCATATTTATTTAACTTAGTCATTCATTTGTTTAGTTGTCAAATTGGGCATTAGTTTCTAATGTATGACATATGTTATTTAATTGTACTAAACTAAAAATTTTTGAGTTTTAAATTACAATATATATATAGAAAATTTAGCAATAGGAGATACCTAGAATATGCTTGGATATTCTAGGATATTCTATTATTTAACGGTTGTTATTCATTTAGATTAATCTTGTATTTATAATTTATAAACTTTCTTAAACCTTTTCTAGTATATTATTTTTTATTCTATCATCTAATGGCTGATATGCAATAAGATTAATCTTGTGTTTATAAATTACGAACATGCTTATAATTATAAACTTTATCTGATCAATTGGATTAATAAGTAATAATAAATCTACCATTAATCAAACCAAGCGTTAATACATAGCAATTTATTAAAATTATAAAAATATTTTCAAATATTTTTTTCAAAGTTTTTTTATATTACCTATTAGGTTATATTATGGAATCAATATAAACAACACTTTTTATTAAGCATAATATTAGTTTTTAAGATTTATTTAAATAAATTTATAATTAAAACAGAAAAACCGGAATGAAAACCATTTTTTATGGAATTGAGTTTAACAAAAAAAAACTTATTTCATATAGTATATATTTTTCAGCTAATTTATATTTTTTAATCTGATGTCCAAGTCCAACTCACACAACTCACGATGATTCCCAATTTTAGGGGAACGAGGGAACACTTGAATTTAATTTGGTTCAAACAAGACTACAAGATTTTTGAAAAAGAAGAAGGCATTACACAACTTCTTGCGTGTTTAGTCTGGTTGTCACAATTGATGAAAGGCACTTGCTTTGCTACAAAAGTGCTTACAGCGTTCACGAATATCTCCTCACTTCTTCGTGCCTCCTTTCTTCTCTTCCACCGCTTTGAACTTGCGCGGCTGCCAAATGCCCAGCCGGTAATTGTGAGCGTGCCTCAGCACCAATTTCCTCTGCAAAGAAGCCAAGGATTCAAATGGAAGAAAAGCGATGGCAAGCAAACTTACGTCCCGGACTTTAAGACCCAGATCTTTGAGCGCCTCGGTTTTGATCACCAGCACATCCCTCAAGCTGGCACACCGCGTCTTGAGCTTGTCGTGGTGAGCTTCCAGTCCGATCGTCTTGAGAAAATCCATGATCGTGAATCCCCGGTTATCCAGAATCCCTGCAATGCCGATCAAGCCAAATTCTAGGAAGAAATTCGCTATCTTTTACCCGTTGGCGCCCTGGTTCTTGTGGGGTCTGGCTCAAACCTGGGCACCTGGAGCACTCGCGACGCCTTGGAGCGCGGCCGATACTCGCCGGATGCATTCGATCCAGTGGAATAGAGCCGCATTGTCCAGGATCGATGCAGCGCACCGATCCTTGCCCAGATCGCCATTGCTAAAACCCTCCCCTGTTTTTAGGGTTCCTCATCTTGGAACTCTGTTTTTAGGGTTCTGCACTGTTTAGGCTAGAGAATGCCGTCAAACGTCCGCTACGCCGTCCGCGATTCGCTTCCCTCGATCCACATCACCCTGGATGTGGTGAGCACGCTCAGCAATGCCGTCCAGGCGGGCGCCCGGACGAAACACTCGGCGGCCCGCGCGGCCCAGGAGATCGTTCATGCAGTTGTAGTGCCGGGGGCTGGTGCCAGGAAATGGTCCACTCTCCTCTTCCATCTCATGAAGCTAGACGGCTCCTTGGCCGACACGCTCACCTTCACCACGATCCTGTCGATGTATAGCCATGCCGGGCTCCTGGAAGATGGCTGCCACTGCTTTGGATAGATCTCCCGGGCTTCTTCGACGCGGCCATTCTGGGCGTAGGCCGCGACGATCGCCGTCCAGGAGATCACGCTCGGCTGCTTGATCTCGGTGAAAATCTGGTGGGCAACGTCGAGGAGCTTGCCGCTACAGCGCGTTCTTGAGCCGAGTGTCCTCCCCTACGATCGTTGGAGCTGATCTTTGGAGTTCTTGGTGGATCAAGCGGCCTTCTCGCAGAGCCGAGCAAGCTCCACAAGAGACGATGGCTGGAACGAGCGTTTCTCTGTCCACTCGCATCCCTTGGAGCTGCATGGCTCGAAAGATTTCCAGCGCTTGCTTGGAGATCAGGAGGCTCCACAGCGACGCTGGCTCCAAGTTCTCCTCGACTGTCACCACCCGGCAAGCTTCTTCCAAGCCGTGGAGCTCCGAGAAAGCAGCGAAGATAACGGTGGAAGTCACGCTACTCGGCTGGAATCCCTCTTGTTTCATCCAGTGCAAGAGGATCACGGCCTCTCTCGCGAATCCCTCCGCGGCGTAGGCCGAGATCATCGAGTTCCACGATACGAGGTCTCGCTCTTGGAATCCATCGAAAACTCTCCTCGCCTCTTCGATCCTGCGGCCCTTCGCGTGGAGTAGAAGTTTAGGACGGCGTTGCTGGTGACCGCGTTACTCGAGAGTCCACTCCGCGAGATCTCGCAAAGTACCAACTTGGATTCGTTCTCTGGAAAGGTGGCGCTGCTTATGAGTGGAGCAAGCGTCACTCGATCGGGTTTTACTCCTTGGAGATTCATCTCCCGGAAGTAGGCCAGTGCTTCTTTGCTCCGAGAATGCTGGACGAGCGCCGAGATTATCATGTTCCAGCACACCAAGTCGCGGCCGCCTTGCTCGATCCTCTCCATCACCTCCAAGAGTTTGAGTGCGAGCTCTGGCTTGTTTTGCTCCACGAAGACTGTGATGATCGAGTTCCATGCTACGACGTCCCTCGACTCCCTGGGAGTTCTCTCCAAAACTTCCAGCGCCTTGTCGACACTGCCGCACTTTCCATAGGTGCCAATCACGGCCGTGGCGATGATGACGTTCCAGGAACTCGACGCTAGCAGGCCGCTCTCCACGGCTTGGTTGCAAAGAGCTTTCACTCGATCGTCTTCTCTGGATTCAAGCCGTGTGGCACAAGCTTGGAAGATGGCGACGAGGGTGAAGGGATCCAATCGAGCTGCGTTGCTCGGAAAGCTACCATGGCTTCCTCGATCGAGCCTCTCTCGCCCAGTGCCGCGATGAGAATCGTCCAAGTCTTTACGTTCCATCTCCTGGAAGACTTTCTCGGCTCTCTCGACGCTCCCACACTTGAGGTACATCTTTAGCAGCGCTGTTCCAGTCGCGGCACTGAGTTTTCGATCGTTTTCCAGGATCCAGGAGTGGATTCTCTCCACCATGGAGAGGTTTCCAGGCCCGGCAACGCAGCGAGAGTTGAGAGACACAACGAGGCTGAGAGCGTCGAAGTGGAGGCCCTCGGCAAGCATCGCGTGGGAGAGATCCAGAGCGTCTTTGGAGCGCCACTCGCGGGCGCAAGATTGCCACAGTATTAAAACGCCAAATCTCGACGCTCAGCGATTGTCTCAAACACGGCACTGCTTCGGAATATATTCATGGATCATGCCGATATCATCCAGATAGTCATGCCGCAACGCAGGTTATCTCCGAGTACGTGCCAGATAATTCTAAGGACGTCCATTCGCGTCGTCGCAATGGTAGCTAGCGTGATCATAGAGATCATTCAATAGGAATATGATCAACGGGGTATTTCTTGGTGGATGCACCTTGTTCCTCCGAGCGACACTTGCTACAAAGGAGCTCGGGACATGGACGCCCCGACGCACGGAGAATTGCGCAAAGCGGCAGCTCGCACTCTTGTTTGCCGCTCTACGAGCTGCCAAACTCTATGGTAGGATCGCCTGCTCTCTAAAGGTAGAGATCGTCGCTCCAGCTTTAACCTTTGGCTTGACAGGCAGGGAGGTGGCCGGTGGGAGCCTTGGGCGGCTGGATCGTTCTCCGTGACGGATGGGGTCCAATCTACATTAGCACAAAGCTGGAACTTTTCGAGGAGGGTGTCGAGGATCTAGAAGAGCTCGAAGAAACCGACGGCGAGCCACTGCTGCTGTTGCCAGGACCAGAGAGCTAGCTCTCCACAAGCCGTGAGTAAAGTTCCACAAAATTTCAACTTGTCAACACCCTCGAACTTTGGTGAGCAAAGCTTGCTAGGTAGCAGCGAAGACTTTTAAGATTCTGAACTTCTTTCTCATGTTCCAGGATCTTTCTGCTCCTCCGCCGGCTCTCGATTCCCTCGGAGTTCGCTGTGCAACGATCACGAATCCAGAAGCACCGGTGTTGGGCCTCGACTCGTTCGGCTCTTGAAAGCCATCTTAGAGGAAGAAAAAGCTGACCTTTCGGACATTGCTCCCATTCTGGAGAGGGAGTACGCGTTACCAGTGAGATCGTGAAGCAGCCTGTGTTATCAAAGAGCTCCAGGAGAAAACGCCAACGCCAACCAAGGGACCGATCTTTAAAGGACACAGAGAATAAAAGGCGAGTTAACAAGGTCTAGCAAGGCAATGGAGAATTTTGATGTGGAGGAGTGCCCGTTTTGGAGGCGCGAGCGAGTCGGCGTTGGCGATCCCGTGCCGCGGACCAGCCAGATGCTCAAAGGGATCCACGAATCCATGAGGAGGTACGCGCTTCTCCCACGGGATCAGCGGCGCTGGGCAGACGCCTACGGCCGGCGCACGGGCCTGGGCCATTTCTTGTTCCAGGTCAATCACATCGAGGGCGAGGGCTTCGAAACGCTCCAGGCGACCGAGGTGGCGATGGCAGCGGGCGCGCTGGACAGTAGCGGCACTGGCGGCGAGGCCGGAGAGGCCATGCGCTGTCTCCACAGCGCCCTGATCCATCAGCTCCAGGCGAATGGAAGCCAAGAGTGCTTGGAGTTGAGTGTGCCGGGGATCCTGGAGGTGCACAAGCGGCTCCTTGGATCGACGCGACCGGACATCGCAGGAAGGCTGCGCCGCGACGAGGAGATCGCCTTCACCGCGACAACCATTGGCTTGCCGCACGTCTTCATGTGGCCGTCGGACATACCGGCGGCTCTGGACAGGCTGGTCCGTGACACCAACGGAGAGCTCCGAAAGCTCTCATCCACAGGTATGGAGGCCGAGACGCTACTCAAGCTCGGGTCCCGGTTTTTCCTCGAGTTTGAGAGCATCCATCCCTTCAAGGATGGAAACGGTCGGATCGGGAGGATACTCCTGGCAGCCATTTTGATGCACGGCGGCGTCACGCCCTTTCCAAACGTGCTGTTCGTGGAGAGCATGAAGCAGGAGCCGCCGTTCGTGGACGGGGACGACTACCGGGAGTGCTTTGAGAAGGCGCAGGCTGAGCAAGAGTTCGATGCGAGTTATGGTGACAGTGGCGAACGAGTGCTGAGCTTCACGAAAGAGGGGGCGGTGTGCCGGGTTGATCCGCCACGGGAGCTGGCGGCGCTGGTGATTGAAGGCGTTTACGTGGGGTGGAAGCGCTTGTTTCGAGCTCTGGACCAAGCGTTCCAGCTGAAACAAGCAACGGCATGGAAACCGAGGTGGTGGCAGCAGCGACAAGAACACGAGCTGGGAGCTGTCGAGGCTTAAGCAATTTATTCAACTCTCTGTTGAATTAATTTTTTTAATTGATCAACCTTATCTTTTCTGACCTTATAATTTAAATACTTAATATTTTAATTTCTGCTCGGTGTTCGAAGCAAAGTTGTTAATTTCTGCCAAGAACAACTTTTGAACTTATCTCCAGGCCATAGATGAGCTGCAGAACCCTCTTAATCTCTAACTGTTATCAATCGATGAGTTTCAGATGGGTCTAGCTCCCACCTTGCCAACCTGGGGATAGCCAGGAACCTCTAAGTAGGAAAGGTACTGTTTGTTTCAAATCAAGTCTTAAAGATTGATGTCCTCAAAGAGACCTATGAGATATGCCTTGACGACCTTTAGATGATCTCAAAATTATGACATCAGAAGCTATGTTCAATAAGCATAAGCAATTGGAGGCTAGAGGAAAAAAAAGAGTGACACCTCCTGCTTGATTCCTTCACAACATAATGGAAAGCCAGTTGTGCTTGCTCTGTTTCCACTACATCCTTGCCATGAGATCATACGGCACAGGGCAGACACCACTCCTAGTGCTGCAGTCCTAGTTACAGCCTTTACTAATTGAGCTTGCAACACAAAATAGAGTGAGATGGGCACTCAGATCTACATATGGATCAAATGAAATTAAGTCTTCACTGAAAATGGATTAGATTTATTTAGTGAATAAGTTAGATTTATTCACTAAACATTATAATTATAAACACAAGATTAATTTAAACTAAAAATCAATCAAACTAGCCAAATGTGAAATAGCAGCTTGAATCTATCTAAAGAAAGACACATTAAACATTATTGAGATTTTTCATGAGCAATTTATCATTTTAATATAAAAGAATAATAACAGTGAAAATTGCAATAATAATCACAATCTTACAGAACTTATAAAATTTTTCTAAAACAAAAAATAAAAACTATTTTATTCTTTAGGAAATAGAGAATTTATTTTAGATTGAATAAATTTAGGAAATTCTAAGAAATAATAACACTATTATGTGCTATATATTATTAGTAATATAGTGGGATTTTAATAGCTATTAGATTAGTTTTATTCCAAACCATTTTTGGGCTTTTGGAGGAGATGTGATTGTTATTGAAGAATGCTTGGATTTGTGTTTTTTGTTTAGATATTTTTCATTTCTTCTCTTTTTTTTAATTGTTTTTTGTTCATATTCATGACAAAATATCATACTCAAATTGATGGTAATATTTATGACATTTAGTGCAATTCCTCTTCCAATGCAATTTTTTTGAAACCTTTTGTCTTGCTACCAATTGCTCTTGCTACCAATTCTTGTGTTTAGTCAAATTTCTTTTGTGGGAATCTCAGAGATGATGTGTATGATTAACTTGATCACTTTACAATAATTGCCACATATTATTTTTGGGATGATGCCTAACATTTGCATGAGTTTATTACATGTCTCTAAAGGATAATATTGCAATGGTATAATAATTTAAGTGTGAAGATTGGAGCCTTCTCTTAAATGCCTTCAAGTGTATATTGACATGTTAATAATTGTGATGATGTCTTCGAATAATTGCATTATTTTTGTCAAGGGCCATCTATATTAGTTATGCAATTTGGTGTTTGCTTCTAAAGTTTTTTGCTTTGTATAGAGTTAAATATGTCAGAGTGGATTAAGTTGGGTATATTATAGCCACTACTTCACTAAAATCTTGTGGGACTTGTGTATGCACTTACCCCAACCACCTTTGACAACACTTTTCAATTAACACAATGCTATAAGACATCATCTTTCCCATTTATTTTTACATGTGCTTTAAGTCCACTTCCCATGGGAGATGATAAAAATTGATGCTTCTATTACCTGTATTCAAGGATAAAGACAAAGACATAATTGTAGCTATGATGTTTGTTGTTAGATGTGTGATGAGATTAGCCACATATCAACATTGTCGATGTTTTTGGATTAGTGTTTTCCTAGGTGGAGGCCTAGGAAAAATATCTTTTCTATGTTACTGTAGTGGAATGTTTTGACACTGAGATACTTCTGGGAAACAAGAAGTCGCACAAGTAGTTTAAAGATCTTGTATAAATAAGTTTGTGACCTTTCTATCCTTCTTTCAGGAATACCACCAAGGGGTTCATTTGGCACTAATTTATTCTATGTTTACTTTCTAAACTTGGTTTTATAACAAAAAGTATGCCATTATCCTTTCTAAATTTATTGATATGGGTTCAAGTTTATTTTATATTACTCAACTTATTGCCATATATAACTATCTATATTTGCATTGTGTGGTAGAGTTGGTTGTCATTCTCTATGGCAATTACCCACATACACAAGATGAAATAAACCTAATGATGTGTATAGATGATCTCAAGTTTAAACTTTAATCATTGGAGGTAGTGCTAAATAAAACTTTTGACCTCATCTTTAATATGGATTGGTTGTAACACAATCATGTCAAATATAACTTTAAATTTTCTCCCATTATTGCATACTCCCTTATATCTATTTCATTCTTCTCACTTCTATTATATTTTATCAATTGTTTTTCCATTGTTTCTATCATTTTTATCTCCTCATTATTTCTTACCTTGTTTCCTTTTTATTCTTTTATTCTCTCTTTGAATCTTTCAAATAGTCTTTGTGTTGTCATCTTAAGCAAGAGTATATTGATCTCTTTAACTTTAACTTGTTATCTAGGTCAAGATTACAACACTTCATTTTATTTGCTCATTTAATCAAGATTCTTCTTTTGCATCAATCACCAAAGGGGATCAATAACTTATAAAAAAATATCTAGAAGATGTTAAAGAAAGGTGTTATCAAAAAGTATTAAATTCCTTAATATGTGAATTTCAT